GCTTTAAATGGATTAAGGATTAAAGAATGCCAATATAAAAATACTCTATAGAGACACAAAACAATTTTAACACACTGTAAGCAGAGTGGATTTAATAAGGGGAAGCACTGGTCAAACAATGGAAATGCTGTTTATTGTAATCTAATGGTCTAATGTTCTTGAACCTATTTAAAAATACACGTTTGAAATAATATGCTCATATATACAAGCAATCATCTTTTTATGTTAAAGAAAGGTTTTGAACTTTTCAAACAGTTAACAAGGGAAAACAGAAAGACTTCGCTGACTTCCAGAAGGTTAACCTGAATAACTATTTGCCTGATTTCCCTGTATTTTTGCTTCCTCTTGATGACTGAAAATGCTAAGTAACTTTTTCTTCACCCTATATCTAGCTCAAGTGGATCTTTGATCCCTAAATAACAGAAAATCTGGCCCTTACAGAAATCTAAGAGCGTTAATGCTATCCTTTGTCACAGGTAGGAATTGCATTAACAGAAACTATTGATAAATATTATATGTGAATATTACCTTAAATTGTAAAAAGATACACTACATTTCTGCCTATAGAAAAGTAAGGCAAATAGCAAGGAGTAGCTCACTACATTCAATAAAAGCCCATTTCTACAAGCAATTAAAAGTATATACATGTTATGTGGTGTGTTCCTAATGTTTCTTACATATACATACTGTGACACAGCATTTTCTGCAATGAAAAAGATAATACAAAATTATTTTCATAATACCAAGTGCAGCATTTTAATAATAGTAAGTAATTTCCTATCCATGCTTCTGAGTTCATCAATAATATATTTTTATAAAGATAAGAGTAATGCAATGCAGCTATAGGACATTCTGATGCCCTTCCAATTCAATCAACCTAAATTTGTGTTCAGTTCCATTAAGCGTTTATGAATATGGTATTTCATATTGAAGATGACTGCCACAAAACCTCCTAAGCAGGCAGGTTAGAATGGCATCAAGCCAATACATGTTAAAACTGATACAAGGATTATTACTTCTTACACACTGTACAATTAAACCACAGAACTCGCTAAGACACGATATTGGAGAGGCCCAAAAGGTGTCAAAATTAGATATTAACACAGAAAACTGAAATACTAATAACTATAAAAATTACAAATTATAGATATGCTTTAAGGTAATTCAAACATGAACTGGCACTGGTTAGGAGAAAGGAAAAAACTCTCTTGGCAAATAATGAAAATGATAAATTTTAAAGCTTTCTTTATTGTAAAGCTGATACTAACCAATGTCAGAAACATAACATTGCAGTACAGCACACTCAGTCTGCTGATGCTGAAGAATATGAACAAATCTGTTATTTTAGAAGACTAGAGAACATAAATGTTTTCCAGCTTTCATCTTTCATTGAACTAGACCTTCTGAGAAGACAGTCACTGTTGGGTTTGGGTTTTGGCTTTGGTGTTTTTTGTGTTTTTTTTCCTTAAACAACTCTGGGAATACACATGCAATCTTCCTCTTTGAAAGTTACGATGATTATGCATTAGTACAATTATATTGGCTAAAAATATTCACTGTTCTAAATAGGACTCTGAAAGCAAAGCAAGCTGTACTGTTATGGGCACTGCCCTGCTTTCCTTAGTTGCCTGTATAAACATTCCCTGATTAAGTATCAGTATCTCTGCCACTTGAGTATTCTAGGCAGTTTTCACTGGCTAACTAAAAAGTCACACCCCAAATATCTCCTACACTTCTGACAAAGAACCACTGTAAGAATCCTGTGCAATTATAATTGCCAAACTGTTATACTTAAGAAATTTAGCAAGTCTTCAGAGTCTAAAATAGAGAATAAGGAGAATTTAATTATTTTTTTTTTAATGTATCTGAAAAGGAATAAATGACTGGTTCTGGGCAGCAGAAAATTCAGGTGCTGAGTTAAGGTATAGGGAACAACATTTAAGAAGACAACTGGATGAAAGCAAAATCACTGGTTTTATTAAATAGAAGACTCACTGAAATCTACTGCAAAGACTGTTCCAAAGAAAGGGAAAAGAGAAGTGACCTCCCAAGTGGGTAGAAGCCCACCACTGTTTAGAAGGCTTGGAATGCTCTTGCCTTAGTGCCTTGTTAAATCAGCCTCGCTAAAAGTCATCTCTACAGATATTCAGAAGTTTAATGCCAATACATACTCTGCAAATTAATATCCTGTAGAGAAAAATCTCAAAGTCTTCTGCAACACTTTAACACCATCCATGCTATATTGTACACATTAGGCACACCACCAATATATTAGTGCATTTTTCCAAAAGACAATGCAAACAATTCTTGTAATAGTGTATCTGCACAGTATAAATGGGTTTGCCTTTAAGAGCGTTCTGCTTCACTAGAAGTGCCAAAAAAATTGTTTAAATGAAAAAATTGGTGTGTTTTTCAGTTTGCTTTTGGGTTTTGTTGGTTTTTTTTTCGTCTCAGGCCTTTTTTCTACAGTACAGTTGTCCTTGAGAGAGGGAAATCCTATCATGGGAGGAACTGTATGGGTACATTTGGTTCAATGTTCGTGCCATCATGCCAGATGCTTCACTCATGGGGTGGGTCAGAAACTATATATTACATGGGTTTGGAGAAAAATGAGGCTCACTTGAAAAGGCAGGCAGAAAAACTGTTCAGAAAGTAAGAAGGTACAGGAGGTGATTATGTTCACCTGATAATGAAGATTATTAGTAAACTAGGGTGTAAAGTTTCAGTGAATTACATGCTCTGCAGTAATTCTCTAACATGGATGTTTTTGTTCCTATTCTACGCATGTCTATATATGTCTTATTGAGGCCCTCTGCATAAAACCCAGCCTAGCCAGATCCACAACCAGTGCAGTGATGAGATGCAGTGTTTACTGGAAATGGTACAGTGCCACACTGCTACAGGCACCCTCTCATCAGCACTGTCTGGAACCTCCACCCAGCAGGGCTCAGCTTTGTCATTGCTGCAATGCAACCTACTACACAGGATGAGTCCAGCTTGGCAATAGTAAGGAAAAAAAAAACCTCCCAGCTCTGCAAAGCTCCTTTCCCACATTTTGTGGGTTGTTTTGGTAGACAACAGCAGCCAGTCTGGGTTCTGAGCTATGCTGTATGTGCAGCAAGAGGTACTCCCTCTCGGCCAGATGCTGCATTTGTGCCAACTCCTGTTTCTGTGCCACACAGGCTGCAACACAGCAGGTTCCTCACGACACTCTACAGACAACTCTCCTCCTCCAGTGGCAGTGCACTCGAGTTGGAATTATGCATAGATTCTGCAAGTCTAGACTTGCAGAAACAAATCCAGAACTACCACCATGTCAATTGTAAAACAGCTTATTTGAATTAAAGCATCACTGGTGTTCAGGGCAAGTGGAAGAGAGAAAGGGGGAAAATACAAAGCAAGGGGGAATTTGGACAGTGCACTAAGGTGACTGATGGGTGCAAGGTGATGCTGAAACTGATAGCTATTAAATTCCATTTGTTGATTATTTTGCAATTTCTTTTGGTGAAGTCAAGGGGACAAATTGAAAAAAAAAATCTTTAGGTAAATTTGTTACTGAATAATCACATAAACAATTGAGCTGCCACATTTTCAGACATGAATAATGGTGTCTTCCATGCTAGTTTATGGAATTTAGTAGGTGAGGTGTATAAAATAGAAGGCATTTCACAATCTTTTTTGTCCTCTGTAGTACAGTTCATTGCCTTCATCAATTGTACTAGTGCAGCTGGTCTATGAGGCTGACAAAGTGTGGCACAGATGTGAAGGAAAGCTATGAGCAGCCAAGCGCAGAAACTTCTTAGGTTCCCACCTGCCAAAATCAGTGTGAGCTACAGAATAACATATATCCTGCTGGTCTCGATATAATGCAGGATTGAGTGCCAAAAAACCAATCACAGGTTTAAGAAAACAGTCATCATTTGCTGCTATTCTTTTACCAACCAAATGTTGGATTTTTTTTTCCTGTTGTTATGGTAATAAGTATTTTTTAGGATGCTTTAAAATAAACAAATAAGGTAACACTTTAGTCTGTCAATATGTACCTATTAGGTTTTGCAGGTTTTCCATTCTTTTCTCCCCTTCTTCCCTGCTGTCCCTTACCCTCCCAAAAAAAAAAAAGATAAATTCTACCTAATTTTCACTTGTGAGGTCTCTGCCCCAAACAGTGTTGGAATGCTTATGCTGGAAACCCTGCATGAGAATATTCTCTCATTCAATGCAAAACAGAATCTTTGCTTTCACTTCAGTTTTTAAGATTTGCAAGTATTTTTATTACCCGATTTACTCTGAGAATGTTTATTTCAATATTATTAACTGGTTTTAATACTGGTTTAAATCTCGATGACTTTGCTGTTGCCTCTGTGCCCATTCACCCCTTCTTTCAAACTGGATTCCATTGATTTTAGCAGAGTTTTGCACAGTTCTGTTTTTGCAGATTCACGTGTGAGGTCCAAGCTCTTGCAGTAACATGAATATTGTTAAAGTGTCATTATATAAAAATTCTGGTATGACAAATACCTGTCACGGTTATGTTCACCCTAATGCAACATGTACATGCTCAAAATTTACTTTCAGGTAGTTTATTCAAGACTTTCCATAACACAATCTGATAGGTAAATTGTCCTTAAGGCTTATGGGTATGAGATGGGGAATGCTGTCTTGAACAAACTTCATCCCAGTTAAGACGCAGCATAAGAAATTCTGTTTGATGGCACTCTGTAGGCCTTATATAACTCTTGGGACGTGGTGGCACACTGTGTTGAAAGCATTAGGAATGAGGTTGGCTCTGGGAAACTGGAAGTTCTGCAATACTGTTTGTTTGGACTTGCCATCCATACGGTTCAAGAGTTATTACATGTATCACTTTCTCCCAGTCATCTGAACGGTGAGTCATACAAACCGAAAGCGGAAGGCGTATGTGTGAACAAAGCAGATGTGGATGTTTGTGGAGGTTGTTGTCAGGTTTATTTAACTCTTGTTTTCTGTTCTGCCCCATCTAGGGCAGATAAGTTCGAATCTTTGGCGAGTCCAGGTAACCGCTACCTCAGTGACAATCTGGGACTGAGACTGTTACAGGATAAGACCTCACACTGGTAAGTCTCTGGAAGTCTCCTGTGACTCAAACTTCCACCTCCAGCTAAAAGCCTGGCCATCTTTGTTTTGTTCAACTGAGCAGCAGCAGCAAGAAAACCCCACCAGCTGTGTGCTTAGCATGCTAAATACATTAAAACGTCTCTCAGGAATCCTGGTTGTCCATGGGTTGCCTGCAGGACGCCCTGCCACGGACAAGCCAGTTAATAGCTAAAAGCACATGCTGAGATAGAAATAGTTTCCAGACCCAGAAAGCAAACCTGAAATCGGATCCCTACAGACAAGGCTCTTGGAGCTCAAATGGCAACTCTCCTCCTTCAGCTGAGGACTACATTCTGTAATCAGCTAATTTTTTACCTCAGCCAAAACTGAAACGTGGTCTGACTGAAGGGAAACCTGGGCTTAAATAAATGTATTAAATCATTAAAAAAACCCAACCAAAACAACAACAACAAAAAAAACCCTTTATGAGAATATATATCTTAAACTACCCTTCGATGAACGTGACAGAATCAGCTGTAACTCACACTCTAGGCTTCTAGAACTGGGGTTCTGTGATGGTGGAAGCACAGGAGCACACAGCAGAAGAAGGCGGCAGCCAAGCCACCGCCATTAACAGGGTACGCCACTTGCGCAAATTTCCCTTCCCTCTCGGCCCTACCGCTAGCCGTGTGGCGTAACGGCTTTCGCGAATACGGATGCTGCACCGGTCCCCGGCTCCCTTCCCCTCCCCTCCCCCCTCTTGCCTTTTCCCCTGCCCTTGGTAGCCGCCGGGATCCGGGGAAGCTGACAAGGCCTTAGGGAAGGTGAGAAATGCGGGAGTGGC